AGAAATAGAATGTAAATGTTTTGACACAATGACTATGCAAATTACATGAAATCTATGTGAACCAGCTTGATGAAAGTGTTTCAAAATGTATGTGAAAACACTACACTGTACTCCCTGTTTGCATTAATGTATAGAGCTATCATTTAATAAAAAAAAAAAAAAATTAGTCAGGCATGCACCTATATCCCAGCTTCGCAGGAGGCTGAGGCAGGAGGACTACTTGAGCCCAGGAGTTTGAGGTTGCAGTTCAGTTATGGTATGATGTGATGTGCTCTAAGCCTGGGCAACAGAACAAGACCCAGTATTTAAAAAAAAAAAATTGATATAAAAACAAAAAGATAAAATGTATGTGATCCTAATTCTGTATGAGGAAAAAGTACTCTTGAGCATGAAATGCCACTCAATATAAATTACATCCCAATTGTAGGCCAGGCACGGTGGCTCATGCCTATAATCCTAGCACTCTGGCAAGCCAAGGCAGGTGCACTGCTTTAGCTTAGGAGTTCAAGACCAGAGTGAGCAAGAGGGAGACCCCATGTCTAAAAATAGCTGGGCGTTGTGGAGGACACCAGTTTTCCCAGATGCTTGGGAGGCTGAGGCAAGAGGATCACTCACCCTAGAGTTTGAGGTTAATGTGAGCTATGATGCCACAGCACTCAACCACAGAGTGACTAAGTGAGACTGTCCCAAAGGGGGAAAAAAAAACAAAACAATGGTTATAAATTGGGGTTTCTCAACTTTGATTCCAGAATGACAAACAGTTCATATAGTTCTCAAAGAAATAACAGAAGTACTTGTGCTCATAAAATAAGTGAATGTTTTAAGAGGAATTAACACAATATCTGAAGGAAATAATGGAAATTTGCTATGTTTACAAACAACTTAGTCATAAAGAAAGAAGACATCTTGCTAAGGTAATATAATAAAAAATAGGTCAATTAAGTCAGTAGCTACAGAAATCCCTGTCTCCCAGTATGACAGACAATAATTTTTTAAGTAGTATCACACACATACCTTTTTCAGGATGGAGTCTTTTAAAAGAATCTGTTTTTGAAAGACTTGGGTCTGTGATAACTCTTGATCCCAATTTGACAGTCAGATCTATTGAGCGGTAACCCTGAGGAAGTTTTCGGTCATACAGGAGAGTTAAAAGCTGGGCAAGGGTCATTTCAGCCGGCAGTGGCTGGCCTAAAAATAACACAACTAAGTTAAACCTGGAATCTAAGAAAGAAACTTACCTGGTTCAAATCACGCAATTATTTACTGTTTTTATTATATTACAGGGAAAAGTATGATTCTGACATCAACTGCTATATAATTTAAAAATAATCATCGAAGAGTTGACAAAAATAGAATTTACTCTGGACATATGTGAACAGTAACATCTACAGAAGGTGTTAATTAAAGTTGAAAGTCATAAGAAAACAGAAGCAAAGAAGCTAACATTCCTATAAATCTGGGGCTGGTAATTTTTTTCCATAAATGCATAGATAACAAATATTTTAAACGGTGGGGGCCATACGGTCTCTGCTCCAAGTGCTAATCTACTGGGATAGCAGAAAAACTGCTGTGAATGATACACTGATAAATGGGCATAGCTGTACTGCAATAAAGCTTTCTTCACAAAAAGAGGTAACCAAACATTAGCCAAAGTTTGTTGACCTGTTATTAAGAGACAGTGTGAAATTAAGAAGGCTAATCCACTCAAATTTAATGGACAATGTCATTAAAATGCAATATAAAAATAGTGATAAAATGGATAAAGCCTGAGTATGCCTCACCCAAATGCTCAGGACCAAAACGGTTTTAGATTTTTACTTTTTGTGGGATTTTGGAATATTTTCATAGAAATATCTTGAGGATAGGACCCAAGTCTAAACACAAAATTTACTGAGGTTTTAGACATACCTTATACACACAGCCTAAAGATAAATTTACATAATATTTTTAATAACTTGTGTATGAAATAAAGTTTGTATACATTAAGCCATCAGAAATAAAGGTGCTACTATCTCAGCCACATGTATGGACAACACTGGGTTGTTTGATATCATCATCATTTCTGATTTTGAATTCATATCCTACTGATAAGCAACAGTTTTCTTACAGTTATTCACATATAAGTACTTAACAGTAAAAATATAACACATCATTAATAGAGTGAAAAACTAAGTGTTCTGGGTAACCAAGCTGCGTAGTAGCATCACCAAAATACCCACGTCAGATGTAAACAACAGCAACAGGTTTTCAGTTTCACCTACAGTGCCATGTTTTGTCCTATTTTTTTTTTTTTTTTTTTTTGAGACAGAGCCTCAAACTGTCCCCCTGGGTAGAGTGATGTGGCATCACAGCTCACGGCAACCTCCAACTCCTGGGCTCAAGTAATTCTCCTGCCTCCACCTCCCAAGCAGCTGGTACAACAGGTGACCACCACGATGCCTGGCTATTCTTTGGTTGCAGCCATCATTATTGTTTGGCAGGCCCCAGGCTGGATTCAAACCTGCCAGCTCAGGTATATGTGGCTGGCACCCTAGCTGCGTGAGCCACACAGTGCTATGTTTTGATTAAAAAGTTACTGTACAGTGTATTTTCCCCCTTCTCACTAACACAGATACAATGTGCATTGTGTTTTTTAGGTGAGAAGAAACATCAGAAGCAGTTAAGGGACCAGAAAGTGGATCCCACAGGAATCAGGAAGCATTCTGCTGGGTGGCTTTGCCAGCACTTGGGAAGCTTAGACAGGAGAACTGCTTGAGGCCAGGAGCTAAAGACCAGCTTGTACAATCCAGTAAGACCCTGTCTCTACAAAAAAATAGCAAAATTACATTAGCCAGACATGCTGGTGTGTGCCTAAAGTTCCAGCTCCTGCAGAAGGTGGGATGGGAGGATTGCCTGAGCCCAGAAGTTTGAGGTTACAGTGAACTCTGACCGTATCCCTGCACCCAGCCTGGTCATCAGTGAATTTCTCCACTGCTTCCTGATCAGATGTGTTAACACTACGTATCTTTAAAAACGTAAGGCCATGTCTTTTCTTAAATTTCTGCAGCCCGCCTGATTCACAGTTCCCTTCTATTTTTGGTCTGTCATGCTAGATCTTTGCTTGTTTCATAAGCAGCATACCACGAAGTAACATGTGTTCACTGCAATGCTGGTGAATTCACTCTTTCAATACACAACTAACACCTTCATTTTTAGATTTATGCAGCATTTTTCTGTTTTCCATTAGCTGTTGCTCCTCACTTTCAGCACAAAACTTCAAAGTTTATCCTTCTGTTTCTTCAGGTCACACATGGTGATCATTCTAACAGCATCCTCTTCTATAAGATGTTTCACACTTAGATTGTTGTCCTATTTCTCTACCACCTCGGCTTTGGGTTACAGATAACCATAAATCCTTACTCTTACGCTACTACCCTTAGGGATAGCTGCAGGCTGCTCTGACATTTTCAACAACATCTTAGAATCACAAGAGCAGAGAATAAGCAACAAAACACAGTGTGTGATGCCAGCAGGTCTTGGCACAATGTGGGGTGTGAGCCGCTGGCGCATCCAGTCTCTACACATGTGATTACACTACCCTGTGAGAGAGTGTTTGTGTTGGGGAATGTGGATGTGCTTGGAAGATGTGTATCACCTTACGGGGGCAGTAAGGGTCATTTTTCCCTTATGGATGCAGAATAAACTGTGCTGTATCCTTGCACTTTGATTGCAACCTATCACATGAGACCAGGTATAATGTTGGTGCTCAAAAAGTTCTGAATTTTCTTTCTTTTTTTTTTTTTCTGAATGTTCAATTTTCAGATCAGGATACTCAACCTGTATCCCTTTCACAGTATATTGGTCACGCACGGTATATAAATTGATAAATTTGTATTGGCTGAAAAGAATATACTGCTCAATCACCAGGACTCTAGGAATTCCACTGCTTAAAACTAGTCAAACAAATGTGACTCACCCAGCATCCAACGTAACTTGTCATAAATGCTCTAAACATTGATCTTACCAATTATTGTATGGCATACTGATGGAAAAATTTAGAAAGCCAGTCCAGTAGAAATATCTGAGTTGATAGTACTAGAAAGGGTATATAATAGGTAATTCCCTTTTTACTCTCACTTTTCTTAG